AATTAGAGGATCAACTGGTGGGTGCATTCGTACGTCTAGAAGCTGCAGGACACATATTGAAGATCAAGAATGGGGAGACTTTACATGATGCCGCGTCGATAAGCGTAGATGCAGTTGAATCGACGGCGAACTGGCAAGTCATTGTGGAGACGTTTTCTGCCTGCGGGGAAGCTTCCACGAGCTTGAGCTTTGGTGCCTCCGAGTTGGTCTGGATATCAAAGTAATGACAGGTGGTGCTTCATGGGATAGCTGGAGTGATACAGACTAAGGAAGCTCTTAGCATAAAGTCTACCTTCAGGTACAGAGTGTTTAGGTTATACACAGAGACAAATTCACCACTTCCACTTAATCAATCATACCCCAAGACAATCTTTTATCAGTACTTACAATGGGAAAGAAGAAGGTTCTCGTTTGGTGAGTGGTCCCTCGAGCAAGACACGGTAGTGCTGTCACGTATGCATGCGTACTAACCTGGCCGTTACCGTAGCTACGGTGTAGATATCGACGCCGTTGCCGGCTGGCTCGGGTCATATGGTGGTGAAGACAGTACTAGTGACATCAGTCGAGGTTAGTTGCACTCATGGAGGGTCTTCGTCGTCAAGTCTCACCACCAGTTGGGGCGTACACCGCTGACCTTGCGGCGCTTGAACAGGTCTATGGGCTGGAACCATTGGTACACGTCGACTCCTGAAGCTGTTTGAAAAGTACAACATCAAAGCGTCTTGGTTCATTCCTGGCCACTCCTTAGAGACGTTCCCAGAAGAATGCGCCATGGTGCGGGATGCAGGCCACGAGATCGGCCTGCACGGATACAGCCATGAGAACCCTGTCGACATGACGCTAGAGCAGCAGCGCGACGTTCTGGACAAAACGTGGAAGATGCTCACAGAGTTTTGCGGCAAGCCGCCCAAGGGCAGCGTTGCCCCGTGGTGGGAGACGAGCGAAGAAGGTACTGAGCTGATGCTGAGCTACGGTATCGAGTATGATCACTCCATGTCGCACCACGACTGCCAAGCATATTGGTTGAGGACTGGTGACAGCTGGACCAAGATTGATTATACCAAAAAGGCAGAGGAATGGATGAAGCCTTTGGTAAAGGGCAAAGAGACGGGGTTGGTCGAGATTCCCGGATCATGGTACATTGATGACCTTCCCCCGATGATGTTCATGAAGAACTCCGCAAACTCACACGGTTGGGTGAACCCGAGGTAAGTCTTTGAGTTACATCCATGTGCATTATGAGGGCACTGGCTGATCTTGCCCTCCAACAGGGATGTTGAAGACATCTGGCGAGACCACTTCGACTACTTTTACCGAGAATATGGTAAGTTGAGGGACCCCCCCCCCCTTCCTGTTTGACGAATAAGTCTTCGTGAACTGATCCTTGTTTTCGAAGATGAGTTCATCTTCCCAATGACCATCCATCCCGATGTTTCGGGTCGGCCCCACGTGCTACTCATGCACGAGCGGATCATTGAGCACATTAACAAGCACGAAGGCGTTGAGTGGGTGACCATGGGAGAGGTAAGTTCCACCCCCACTCTTTGATGTGTAAGAGTGTATGCTGATGCTCATGTGTCAATAGATGAGCGACTATTTCAAGTCCAAGAACCCTGCGCCTGAAGGTGGCTTGATGCCTGCCAGCCAGGAAGAGGTTATGAAGAAGTACGAGGAATGGAAGAAGACACAATCATAGATTGACGTAGCCTCATGAATACCAAGTTTTAAATATTGAATTATTACCGAACTGCTCCTTCGAGGATGATACGCAATGTGACAAGATTCCTAATGACCTTTGATTGGAAGCGTCGAGTCACTTTGCTGGCGCCAGCGCACTGGTTTGACCACTATCCAAATTATTGACTCTTCAGATGGACTAGTTACCGGGCAGGTACCTGTTATAGCACAAGGAAGGCTCAGCTGAAACTAAAGCACAAATTATCGCGCCGATGTATGATTATTCGTTGCATGTGCCCATGGCGATGTTCTGTCGGTTAAACTAGCTACATGAGTCTAGAACATGTGCGCATTGAGATTTAAGATTCCCCTACTAAGTATCACTCTATTCAAACAAGCAGAATTTCTGAATCACGATCAACCTTGAAGTTCCTACTTTGATATCAATATGCACTCTAGCTCTTATGCTTGAGGATGCCATCGATGATCTTCCCAGCCGCAAGCACCATCTCCTCCTCCAGCTTGCGGCCAACAATCTGAAGTCCCACAGGCAAACTAAGAGAAGCCATTGTCTCCTTGTTATCATCCCACAACTTCCTGTTCCATTCGTTCTCAACTCCCCTCGCTTCCTCCGCCCACGGCTGATCAATGTCTTCCCGACTCACCTGGCCTCCAGGAATGACTAGGGCAGGGTAATCGAGGAAATTCCACACCTTGGTGTATCCTACCCATCGACAACCCCCATGCGGTACAGCTGAATGAGGCATAGGTGGCAGCAGTAGGATATCAACCATGCGGCCAGTCTTAGGCGAGCGAATGGATTGCCACTTTTCCAGGTATGCTTGCTGCAAATCCCACTTGCGCCTGTTAAGCTGCCAGTAGTCGTACACTGAAATTGCCTTTCCGCGGTTGAGAAGCTTCTCAACGTGGGGGATGAAGGGCTCTCCACCAGCCAAGACGTCTTTCCGAATATCTTCGCCGCCGTCAACCGTGTAGAAAAGGTCCTTATAAGGACAGTCAGTCACCGTCGCTCAAATACAGACTTATTTAACTTACCATCGTTCTGATGCAGTCTTCGTGCAAGCTTGCATTCCATTCCAAGACCTCGTGGCCCGCTGCCTGCAGGCGCTCTACAGCAGAACGGAGAACACGCGTCAATGGCGGGTGAGGTTGGACAACATTGTCATCATAGAGGACTCCAATAGTCAAGGGCCTAGAGGAAGTCTCCTTGTATAAGTCCTCACGCCACGGAACCGGTGCGTAGCGAGCGTCTAGCTCCCAGGGCTTGGCGTTAATGAGCTGCTCCATGGCGAGGCGGATTGTCGACAGACTGCGGGCCATGGGACCTATTGACGAAGGCACATGTTCTTGCCCTTCGGTTGATACTGGAACTCCGCGATAGGGTAGGCGTCCGCTCTGAATAGGATGTCAGTGAGGCTCCATACTTGGTCAATTCTCACGTGGAGCCAAGTGAGTTCCGAAGTTGCTAGTAATAAGACTCACGCTAGGCTTGAAGCCGTAAGTTCCCATCATGTGAGACGGAATACGAATGCTTCCTCCAATATCAGTCCCCCAACCAAGCATGCTTGCACCGGAAGCAAGCAAGGCTGCCTCGCCGCCGGTTGATCCACCCGGGGTATAGTCCCTGCTCCTGGGGTTGGTGGTCAGGCCCCAAAGAGGGTTGTCGGTCTCACACCACTTTTACAATGTAAGCCTCGTTTCATCTTACCAAAGTAGGAACACTCGTAGTAAGGGAGAGTAAGGACATGTCCAACTACTTACCATGATGCTCTGTGGCAAATTTGTTTTAGCAACGACGACAGCGCCCAGCGATTGAAGCATCTTTACGACAACGGCATCGTCTGCAGCAGGTTTGAAGGACCGCCCTACGTAGCCGAGAGTTGTGTCATATCCTTTGACATTAAATTGGTCCTTGAGAGTGACTGGCACACCATGCAAGGGCCCAACGGTCTTCCCGTGTTCGATGAAGTAAGTGTCCAACTCCTTAGCCCGCTTCAGGGCATCATCAAACACAATTTCCGTTAGACTACATTGACGTGCAACAGATATTAGCGAAATCTTGAGCAAAAAGGCGTACCATATCTGCCTAAGCAAAAGGTTCGCCCAAGTTCAAAAATTTCGAAACGTACCAGTTCGTCTTTTAAGACAAGCTTGAGTTAGCGAAGAGTTCGTCACTTTCCGATGAGAGCCATACCTTGTTGTGCACCTCAGAAGCCCTGTTAATATTTGAAGACTCATCAGTATCAATTTCCACGTTAGATATACAGAAAGGGAAGAGGCTTTGCAATTGCGGGCGCGTGTTGGTTGTTTATCCACGTACTTCCGAATGTAGGCCTTCACAATGTCTTCGCTCGTCAACTCACCACGTGAGATTTCCGAGACAAGTTGGGAGGCTTCAGCTATAGCCGTGATCTCAAGCTCTTTAGGACTTTTTGTCGAGCCTCCAATGGATGCTGAGATAGCTTCAGCCCGGAGCTGTCTCTTCTTAGATACGACACCTTGCCATACTTGTGCCGGATCAGGGATCGTGATTTGCGTCATTGTTTGTGCCTTGTTCCAAGATTCCTTGGACTATGTTCTTGTCTTCGCGGTATGTCTCTCAGTATCTTCAATCAATGGCCGAGTCACAGAAACACCGCAAAGCTGTTGTCACGATGTTCCCAAACGCTAGGCCGAAGCGGGCCCGGCTTGCCGACGGTATTCGGGATGCCGATCTTTGGAGCATAAGCCACTTGATTGGCGGAATCGTCGTCCGACTCCGCCCTCGCTCGGGATGTCTCCATCGGCCACTTGGGCTTATCAGTGGAGCTTCACATGTTGGATAGCCCGCCATTGCTTTGGTATGTTTCCCCGCGGATTCCTCCCCTGACCCCGCGACTTGGCTTGTGCGGCGAACACATACGTTCGTAAGTGGGGGATGGAGAGGGGTTCCGATAGGAACATGAAGCCATAGCTAGGAGAGTGGGTGAAATTGGGGCTAATAGTGCTATGTTTGTTCATCAGTCAGCAGTTAGGAAAAAGTTGGCCTCCTCTGTATTGAATGATGGGGGATGTTAATTTGCATCGACATCGGCCGAACATCGAACCACCCTAGATGATGAGACGATTCGTTTTTCAGGCGAGGATAAGGCAAGACTGAGTACCTTTATACAGTCTCATTTGGTTCAGACGAACAATCATATTGGTAGTGAGAGCATCATACACGCTCCAACCATATCTACACAAGAAAACGTCCCGTTCTTCAAAGACGTCCATAGACACTACAGCTACACAACGACTTCGGGTCAGCAATCACAGCAAACATGACAACAAGCTCATCAACTCCTGTGAGCTCACAAACCAATGGCCATACAAACGGCTCGCACCAAAATGGGCACGCATTCAGGTCCGACGTCTGCGTCGTCGGAGCCGGACCAGCCGGCCTAATGCTCGGGTTTGTGCCCCACTCCCTCCGACATCCGCCCCGCACACCCGGCCAGCTCCTCCGTCCTAACATGCCAACACAGGTCTCTCATGGCAAGATTCGGTCAAAAGGTCCAAGTCATTGACGAAAGGCCGGATCAGACTACAGTAGGCCGCGCCGATGGAATTCAGCCAAAGTCGATTGAGACGCTGCAGATGCTGCGCCTCGGCGACGAGCTATTCCGCACCGGTGTTAAGGTCCATGACATTTGTATGTGGCAGAGCTCGAGCGATTCTGACCTGCACCGGTTGAGTCGCTCGATCCACTACCCTCCCTCTGTCGTGGATCTTTTGCAACCCTACATCTTATTATGTCACCAGGGCATGATTGAAGGTGTCTTCATCGATGACCTTCGCAAGAGCGGTGTCGAAGTGAAACGTAGTCACAGCTTCCAGGCCTACAGCACTTTGGACGATGGCTCATTGAGCATTGAATGCGATCGGCAAGGGGAAGGAAAGACATCCATCAACTCGGAGTTTCTGGTGGGATGTGACGGCGCGCGATCTCTCGTTCGAAAGAGCATCCCCGACACATTCGCCCAAGGTTCACCGCATGCTTCGGTATGGGGCGTCCTCGATGGCGAACTGGAGACAGACTTCCCCGACCTCTGGAGCAAGACGGTAGTCTTCTCTGAGAAGTACGGTTCCATCCTCATCATTCCCCGCGAACGCAATATGACGCGCTTCTACGTCGAAATGAAATCGTCAACATCCTCAAAAGACCTAGGAGAAGAATACGTTATGGAACAAGCCCGCCTTATCCTATCACCCTACAGCGTCAAATGGCGCTCTGTAGAGTGGTTTGGCAATTATCAAGTCGCCCAGCGCGTGGCCGCCCGCTTCTCCGACCCGGCCCAGCGCGCCTTCATCGCCGGCGACGCCAGCCACACGCACAGTCCCAAGGCAGCGCAGGGCATGAACACAAGCATCCACGACACCTGGAACCTCGGGTGGAAACTCAACCTCGCTCTGCGCGGGCTCGCAAAGGGCGACGTGTTGCTTGCGACCTATGAGCACGAGCGCAAGAAGATTGCGCACGATCTCATCAACTTCGACTTTGAGCACGCCAACGAGATCGCTCGCGGCGACGCGAAGCGGCTGGCAGATAACTTCAAGACAAACACGCGCTTCATTTCTGGCGTCGGGGTCGAGTATGGCGAGAACGAGCTCAACCAGGGTCGGGATGACGGCGTTCAAGGCGCCGCGAAGCCGGGATGCAACCTCCCGCCTGCAAAGGCTACCCGATATATCGATGCTTGCCCTATCGACGTGCAGCTCGATATTCCGGTCTTGGGTCAGTTCCGCATCTACGCAGTCTTGGACGACGTCTCTGGCGCTGCGGGTGTCTCTTTTCTGCGTGACTTCAGCACCGGCGTAGCATCTGCGTCTTCATTGGTGTCGAGACTTTCCGCAGCAGCAGCGCAGTCGTACAAGGTGAAGCCACGCGCCAGTCGGACGGACGATATTCATGTACGCCCTGAGAGATATACATCTGTCAGTCAATTATGCACATTTGCGCTCGTCAGTAAGTTGATCGCGCTCCTCTTTTCGTACTATTTATCCAGTTCTCCACGTCGGAGGAAGCTCCGCGCCCTCCCCCTAGCCAATGAAGTGTCGCTGCTGACTCTGTGTTCCAGCATCTACGGAAAAGGAGAACTTTGAAATCTCTTCGCTTCCTCCCGTGTTCTCACAGAGTGCCTGGACCGTCTATCTCGACGATGTAGCACCTCTGGATACACAAGGACGCTCCTGTACAGACAAGTGGCTTGGTGGTCTCGCAACGGACGAAGCTTCCCTTATCGTCGTCCGCCCGGACGGCTACGTGGGTACCATCGGCCGCTGGCAGGCAAGCGAAAGCGGCAACGGTGAGATGGCGGCGCAATGGCTGGATGACTACTTTGGCGGTTTTTTACAAGCGCCGGACATGTAGTGTATTAAATCGCGCTTCATGCGGTGCGACTTCAGGGCAGAGCGGTGTGGGCAAACGAGAAGCAGTATGTATGTACATGTAGCATCAGCTGGTCCTACAGTGAGACCGGTCGATCTGAGTTAGTTACTCCGTTGAGAGGGCTGGGCGTACATATGTGACGTATGTACTTTGGAATATCAGACTGATAGTGAGCTACATGTAATTCGGGCGAGACATAGCCCGAGACCTATGTAGACTGTTATGTTAGCTCAACAAGCATGAGTCGTCTTTGCGGCTATTACTAGAAAGTACATCGTTTATTCTGGCCTCAAAACGAAATAGACGCAATTGACAAAGTCTCATGTTGTTTTCTCTTATGTCATTAGTCCCTCGATTTTGCAGAAATTTCCTCTGCAGACATTTTAATATGGGTTTCTTCAGAATTGCGTGCCCATCTCCGGACCACAGCCAACCCGCATCTATGAAATCATCACTCGCACGCTATGCAGTGCGGGAGGGTTTGTCGAATCGTTTTTCCTTGTTTTCTGAACTCTAAACGCGGCCTTGACGCGGTGCGTGGTAGTGTTGATTGGCAGAGCGCCATGTCAGACATCCTAGCCGGAATGGAGTCAATGTCAGGTTTGGAACAGCCCGTGCATGCCAAAGTGGGGGTGGGGACCCGTAATCTCTGGGATAAATCCCTGGTACAAGCCTCTCTTTCTCGTCCCTTAAGGAAATAGACGAATAGAGCTCTTCGGATTGGGGCGATACACACACCGTCGGTGACGGGTGAAAGGGCAGAGATAGAGAGCCCACGCCCATGCGGCACCTTTAGATAGATACCCTTACTTCGTACCGGCCGCGGACGAGTGATAGCACGGCAATCATCTCCATATCCCCATTTTGAGGCTGAGGTGAGAGACAGTGTCTCCCCGGTGGGAAATCAGGACCCTTGATTTGTCCTTCACCCCAGAGAAAGATACCCCTGGCGCTACATGTACGGGGACGCTCATTATGCCAGCTGTGGAGTGTGAGCAAGTACAACGTGTTGGCTGATATCCATTCGACCTTGCGACCTTGGCTGCCGGTACCTTGCAAGATTGGCCCTCTCATGTCAGGTAGAGAGCTCGTCCCTTGGTGTTCCTGGATTGAATAAAGCTGAGGGACCAGGCGCCCTACAAGGCTCACCTCATTCGAGGATCCGAAAAAAGTCAGGCCCCAGGTTTCTTCGTTTTTCTTTCGTGAGAGAAAAGGGCCCAAGTCAGAAGCTGTTTATCGTCTTCACTTTCTTTCCCTCAGTCATTCTTCCTGTTCCCCCTTGCGAATCGACCAGGCTATTTTCATCATGTCTGCTCCGAGCGAGAAGAGTGTCACAAAGGATGCGACAGAGCCGAGCTTGAGGCAGACGGCCTCCGGGTCCGTTATCCAGGGAGATGCAAGTTCCGTCGGCGACTCGGTCCTCCGTGATTTTTACACGGGCGCCGTGAACGAGAACTATCGTCTCAAGTCGGAGCTAATCGCGAAGCACTTGGGCGAGATTGGCATGGGAAAGTATGTTTGATATTCCTCTCCCTCGCTTTCTGGCTTCGTACTACCGGCGCAAGATGGAAGAAAAGCTGACCGTTTCCCCCCTCCTTCTCAGATTCCAATGGATCCTCTTCGTCGTCAACGGCTTCGGCTGGATTGTCGACAACTTTTGGTCCCAGGGAATCACAGCAATCCGGCCACCGATCGGCAACGAGTTCACCGACATTGCGAAATTGAGCTTCAGCTCCGTAGCGTACTACGTCGGGCTGATCGTCGGCGCCTCCTTTTGGGGCACCACCGCCGATCTCATCGGTCGCAAGCCCGCCTTCAACGCCACGATCCTCTACGGCGGCGTCTTTGCGTGCGCTGTGGCCGGCGTTCAAAACTTTACGGGTTTCTGCATCATCTGGGCCATTATCGGTACGGCGGCGGGCGGTAACGTACCCGTGGACAGCGTCGTGTTTCTGGAGTTTGTTCCCCAGACCCATCAGTGGCTGCTCGTAAGCTTGTCTGGATGGTGGAATTTGGGACAGGTTATCGTGTCGCTCCTGGCGTGGGTTTTCTTGGCCAACTTTGCCTGCGACTCTACGGAAGCTCCTTGCCGCATGCAAGACAACATGGGCTGGCGTTACCTCATGATCACTCTCGGTGGTATCGCCATTGCCTTTGGTCTGATCCGCATCGTAGCCTTCAAGATTCCCGAATCGCCCAAATTCCTCATCTCCAAGGGTCGCGATGCCGAGGCCGTCGAAGCCGTAAATTACATTGCGCGCTACAACAAGCGACCGGAAACCCTCACCCTCGAAATGCTGCAAGCCATCGACAGACAATGCGCCGGTATTTCAGAGTCAGACGCAGGCAGCGTTGCCCCCGCCGCCGCGGCGGTCGACCCCGACATGGCGCCTCGAGGCTCCAAGCTATCCCACATGGAGATCCTCAAGGAAAGCTTCAGGGACTACAACGCCGACAACTACAAGAAACTGTTTGCCGGTCGCAAGATGGCGCAGCACACGTCCGTCACGTTCCTCATCTGGCTGACCGTCGGTGTGGCGTACCCGCTCTACTTCGCCTTCATCCCGTCATACCTCGCGACCAAGTCTACATACTCTGCAAATACCTCGCTGAACCACACCTACATGATTTACTGCATTGTTTCTGCGGCCGGTGTTCTTGGACCCATCGCGGCCGGCTTCTGCGTTGAGACACGCTTTGGCCGCCGCTGGATGATGGCTGCATCTGCGGTCTTGACAGGAGTTTTCTTGTTCGCTTACACGGCAGTGGGCACGGAAGCGGCTGATATCGGATTCCAATGCGCAACCGGAATTCTTGGAAACTTTGGTAAGTTGGTCCCCAAGTCATTTTCTGATTATACAAGTGCAATTGCTAACCAATATTCGCAGAGTACGCCGTCATGTATGCCTTCACGCCCGAGTCTTTCCCTGGCCCAGTTCGCGGAACAGGCACGGGCATTGCCGCTACTCTTCTTCGCGTCGGTGGCCTTGCGGCTTCGTTTGTGTCGACGTATGCGGGATACACTGTTGTGCCTATCTATGCCAGTGCTGCTTTATGGATTGTGGTGGGCTTGTTTTGCATCGGATTGCCTTACGAGACCCATGGGCACGCTTCTCTCTAGATGTTGTGACCAACCTGCAAATTTTGAACTCAGCAGCTGGCTAGAAGACTTAATGCAGAGCTACACGATAATGAAAACGTTAATTTCTTCGCCGGACCTATAATCAAAAAGCGATGCAATTTCTGAATTTTTCTACAACTCTGATACCACGCCGAAGCGCACAAGTGTTTCTATATCAATCAAGGTCCAGGTGCTGGGGCAGCTTGGGCTAGATTTGCCACAACTGCCCGTCTTAGGGGGTATTTTATGCAGGAAATTGTAGAGTTGAAATTCCACAACTACGACGTAGACTATCCTTCAATTTCGTACGCACGCAGAGTCCTCAAAATCATCACGGCCTTCAAGAGTTGATGCACTGTAGAGATGATGGAATTGTGCCAGATGGAATTGTGTCAGACGAAAGCATCATGCAATTCCCAGGCAAAATGAACCAGCCCACCTAGACCACATTCATCTTACAAGTTCGCCATGCTTGAACTGCTTACCAATATCAGTCCAGTCGTTGGTGTTCTCCCATCAAAGTTGCTTCTCCCGAACCCGATTCACATCAATCTGTTACCAAAACGATGACTTGAAGATGTTTGTTATCGTCTCCCTTGCTCCTATGAGATGACAGCCCCATGAGAGCTTTCCCCATGTCTATCTGCGAACATGTGGGGGGAAAGGCGCGGTCTCCCGTACTCCCGAGTTCCCCGTGCCTAGACTGCACTAAACCATGGTTTGCCGAATGTAACACACCGGGGGGGGTTAACACCACCGATGATTAGAAGTGGACTGATGGCTATGCTCTTTAGAATACCATACAGATACGGATAGATACGGCAAGTCAAGGTTGCCGACTGGACGGGTTCGGTGTAAGTGCACCCCCACTTCCGAGATATCCCACTCACCACAACCCAACCCAGGAAGCCCCCCCCACTCTCCACTCTTGCACTGGAATGGGGGGCATCTCGAGGCACTAGCAACGATGCATCAACATGGCGATCACGACTAACACGCCAGCGTGTACCCTTAGGGTCACTGAACAGTGGCTTTGCAAATGTGGTTCCGGGCTTCAGATGACATGTTCATAACCTGCCACATTCAACGACGCTCAATGGGCCTCTTAGTGCTCAACAGACCTCAGCAAGCCCCCTTCCTATCAAGACACCAATCCAATACTAGGTCTCGACCATATTTCCCGAAGAGCTTCACACCATGCCCAAAGCAACCACTCCTCCCCCGGCCTTTGCCGCTCTGAAGGATACAGTGCTGTTCAGCCCACTGAAGTTGGGTGGCATCAGCCTCAAGCATCGCATCGTGCAAGTAAGTCCAGCAAGCTACCCACAACATGGCGATGGCGATGATGTAGTGCTAACATACTTGATAGGCACCCACAACTCGCATGAGAAGTGAGTTCGAGTCTCGCGGTGTTCATGTCCCAGGGGCCCGTGTAGCAAAGTACTACGGCGAGCGAGCCAGCGCCGGGGGTCTCCAAATCACAGAGGCCACCGACATCTGCCTCAATGCCAGCGCCTACCCCGGTGTCGCAGGCGTCTTCACCGACTCTCAGCTGCAAGGATGGCGCAAGGTCACTGATGCCGTCCATGCCAAGGGCGGGTTCATTTTTGTTCAGCTTTGGCACACTGGCAGAGCCTCTTCTGGTGGAATGCGTGGAGGTGAGACGCCTATCTCTTCGGGAACCCAGCCAATGGATGGGAACTACCTTGATGGAACTGCGTGCAAAGATGGTCCTCCCAGGCCTATGACCATAGAGGAGATCCACGGCTTGACTGCAGAGTGGGCTGCGGCTTCTAAGCGCGCGGTTGAGGTTGCTGGTTTTGATGGCGTTGAGATTCATGGTAAGAATATGTCGCGCGCA